GACCCTCCATCAGGTTTTCAGAGGCGGTAGATCGTACAGAAGGAGACTACCCACCCTTCTCCCATAGAGCAGCTGGTGGATTCGAATCGTGTGCCTTTGCGACTATAGCACAGACTCTTATCACTAGGCCACAAGAGCTCCAGTGTAACAAAAGTGGAAATTCTAACACGATTTATATTTAAACAGTAACATGTGGTAGGGAGTGGCTATTGTACTGAGTAATGCATATGTAGATGAATCCTTATTATAATTCCAACCCGAAGCGTCAAAGACACTTAGGCACATAACTATTTTGGAGCTGTGTCTGGTACTGTACTATATTTACATATTAATCTGGTGGAAAATGAAGGTCTTTCATTATCTTCCTGCTCAGCAATAAGGTATATTCTCTACTTGAGTATTCTCTTATTACACTAAGTAAAGTTCCGTTTTCCCCCTATACACTCTACACATCTTTTCTTTATCTTAACAAAAAGCATGTAATATTTTTGTTGATATAATTATTGGACTTATATTTCCAATTAGTTCTTGCCAGTATAATGGATCAGTATTTACTATTTAACTATTAAAGCATGTAAATTTTTCTCTTTAATATCATTGAACCATAGTATAGGTTGCTGCTGTAATGTACTGTAGGGTCTTTCACGACTATGATCAACGACCTTGTCCTAACTCTGAGTCAACCTCACCATCTCCAATACACCTGACCCCACTGCCACAGTCACTGTGTCAATCCGTCTCATCCAGGGTCTTCATGATGTTGTTCTCCAAAAACTGATCCCTCCTGACATTATGCCAAAGTACATGAGATGGAGTTTCAAAGTCTTTGCCTCCAAGGAGCAACCTGGATTCACCCTCTTGGGTACAGACCCATTTGTTCTCTTAGCAGTCCATGGTATATTCAATACTTTTCTTCAACATAATAGCTCAAAAGCATTGATTTTTCTTCTATTATCCTTAGTCACTGTCCAGATACATACTGGACACATAGAAGACACATAGAAAGCAAATGAGAAAACCATGGCTTGGATCGGGTGCACCTTAGTCTTTAGACTGAAATCATTACTCTTTAACACTCTGGAGAGGTCCCTGACAAATTTTCCTAATGCAACTTATCTTGATTTCCTGACTGATGGTGCTAAGGGTGTTGACTGTAGGTTCAAGAAAGATGAAACTATTAAGAATTTCAATCTTTTCTCCACCTGGGGTATTAGAACACTTGAAAATTAGCTTTTTAAGCTACTGTATAGGTCTCCAGCTACCTTACCTGTGGACACACGGTCTTCCAAATCATGAATAGCTGTTAACACCGATATAAGAGAGCTTTCTACAATGTGAGGCAAAGCCATGATGGTGGTAGAGAGATTGTGAAGACACTGTGGCAAGGTGTTACCAGAGGAATCCTGTATTTATGCTAGAGTTAAACACATCCTGTTTGCAGGATGACTAAAGGAAAAGCTGGTTTATAACTGCTCTGTGATAAAGTCTGCTGGATGATTGGGAAAACCAGAGGTTTCTTGCATCTGTGCTGCTGAAATAAATCTGGACTGTCAGTAATTGAGTAATTGAGTACCTTGTTAATCTAATTTGGGATTGCTAGAATAAACTTGGATTTGCACTGTGTGGTATACTTAGCCTCCCTATCTCTCTAATAAACCCCACAACTGTGAGTTAAGCCTGTAAGTCAACAACTAAATAAAGGACCCAAAGACGTGTAGAAATAGGTACAGGAGCATGTGCAGGGATGTGTCCGCCAACTGGAACAGTACATCAACAGAGAACTACCAGATGTGCAGGCTGGGTTTGGAAGAAGCCATGTCACAAAGGACATTATATTCAATGTTAGATGCATCTTAGATGAAAGCAGGGAGTACCAGAGGAACGTCCACCTGTGTTTCACTGACTATGCATATTATTTGATTACGTCGATCACAACAATTAGTGGCTAACCTCAAGAAGAATGAGAATCCCAGAACATTTAGCAGTATTCATGGGAAACCTATACTTGAACCTAGAAGCAATCAGAACAGAGCAAGGAAACCTGCATGGTTCAAAATCAGGACATGTATGTCAGGAATGCATCCTATCTCCATACCTTTATAATCTATACACAGAACAGATCATTCGGGAGGCTCAGGTTTATGAGGAGTAATGTGGAATCAGGAGTGGCAAAAGACTATCAACCACCTATGTTATGCAGATGATAGAACCCTGCTTGCTGAAACTGAGGAGGACCTGAGACATTTGCTGCAGAAGGTCAAGGACTGTAATCTTCAATACAGAAATAAATAAATAAAATAAAGATTCTTACCACTGGGTCAATCATGATAAACGGAGATGAGATTTATATTATTAACAATTTCAACTTGCTTGGTTCCACAACCAACATTCTTGGCATCAACAATCAGGAAATCAAAAGATGAACTGAACTAGGGAAAAATCTGCTGTCAAGGATCTCTCCAGAGTGCTGAGGAGAAATGAAGTCAAACTAGAGACTAAGATGTTCTTGATCCAAGCCATGGTCTTCACAAATACTTGCTATGCAGGAGAGAGCTGGACACTGACTAAGAATGATAGAAGAATTGATGCCTTTGAGTTGTGATGCTGATAAGAGTACTAAACATGCCATGGACTGCTAAGAAAACAAACGGTTCTGTGCAAGAGTGGGTGAAACCAGGCTATTCCTTGGACGCAAGGATTCTGAAGCTCTGTCTCACATACTCTGGGCATGTTGCCAAGAGAGACTAATCCTTGGAGAAGGACATCATGCTTGGAAGGATGGAGGGACAGCACAGGAGAAGCAAATCTTGGATGAGATGGACTGATTCAGTAACTGAGGTAATGCAAGTAGGTGTGTCAGAAACAACAAGATTGGCTCAGGGTTCAGAGCTACTGTACATAAGGTTGCTATGAGTTGCAGGTGATTGGTTGGTACATAACAACATCAATGATAGATAAATTTTGATAGGAACAGTTTCCCTTTATGAAAGGGGGAGAATTCGGACTCAGAAACCCTTGGTGCACATCTGTTCCTTTTACCCCACCTATCATGATGTTGCCTATAGGTCGAGTGGTGAGTTTTTGTTTTCTGGATGTTAAGACACAATCCCTATTGAAGGCTACAGCATCTGATCTTTTGCTGCAAGCGCTTCATGTCTTCCTAGCAAATAAGGTGTCATCTGCCTGATAAAGCCCATCTTCACAAATGATCTGTTCAGAATAAAGACTGAAGAGATATAGAGAAAAGATACATCCCTGATGTACTCCTTTCCTGATTTTGAAACATGCAATATTACCTTGCTCTGACTGGACAACAGCTTCTTGTTTTAGATACAACACGAGTTCTGGGAATCCCATTCTTCTCAACTGCACTAGGCAAGTCTGCACAGTTAGGGGACTCTCCAAAGAACTGAGGAGCAAGGATGCCACTCTGAAGACTAAGGTGCATCAGATGCAGGCCATGGTCATTTTCAATCACTTGCTATGCACCTGAGAGCTGGAGAATGAATATGGATGACAGAGAAATTGATGACTTTGAGCTGTGGTGTTTGAGAAGAGTGCTGAATATTCCAGCAAAGACAGTGAAACTTTGTTTCTTATATTTTGGGTATGTTGCTAGAAAGGGATATTATGCTTGGAAAAGTGGAGGGTCAGTGAAAGAGAAGACACTCCTCAATGAGATGGACTGACAGTGACTATGTCAATGGGCTCGAATATTTCAGATATGATGAGGATGCACAGGATAGGATGTGGTTCAGGTCTGCTGTTCACAGGGTTGCTGTTAGTCTACATGATGGCACCTAACAACAACAATAACCACATATTAAGGAGCAGAGAAATTAATAACATGGCATCTCCTCCTTTACTAGCAAAAAGACTTTGTTTTCTAGTCACCCTACCTTAATATATTAAAAGAAGACAAATTCTATTACATAAAAGTTCTAAGACTGTCCAAGAAGCTTAATTTACTAATTCACTGTTGTTTATTTTCAATTCAGTAATGCAATCCTAATTATAGAAAAAACACATAAAAATTTAAGATTTTATCTATCAATAGTTATGACTAATATGAGTTTATCATATTAACAGATAAACTCAAAGCAATTTAAAACCTCAAATCTTAAGTCTTATACCATCATAAATCAAGAACCTAAAAATAAAAATGCACTGGAAGAAAAAAATATTCTTCCTAATTAAAAATTAAAATAAGTAAATACAAAGTAAATAATTTCTTGAAAGTATTTCCTAAATAATGAATGGCCATTTAAGTTGCCTTATAAAGATTCTAATTATGGATTATATTACATATACATAAGCTGAAGGCACATGGAAATACCTTTAAGAAATTATTACAAAAGCTATCAAGGCAAAAGTGAAATTAATTTTTTTAACCTTTACTCTTTATGAAAATAAAGACAGGAAGACAGAGGAATTATTTGCTTGTTTCTTTACCTCCTTCCAGTTACTCAACCCAGTAAGCCCTCTAGTTTCTACTTGTTTTTGTATTTAACTTTTTATTAGTTAAGAGCAAAACTAAAGTTCACAGAGGAGAGAATCAAACTCAATGTCAAAATAATATCAATTTTAACAAATTATCTTAGTATATGAACATATGCACAAATCTAATTATCAAAACTCTACTCACTTAAATTCTAAAACAATTTGTTGGACATATACCATTTAAATACAACAAAGATCAATATTCAGAGCTAGCCTTTAGCAGAAATTAATAATTATTACAGAATAAATCCATAAGTTTTTCTGTCAACATTTCTGCTTTGTTTCTGTGAAAAAAAACTTCTCTCTCTCTCTCTCTCACACACACACACACACACACACACACACACACGAGGAATATAACTATCACTCAAAATTATTAGTACTGCTTCATTTAATAGAATAATTATAGCACAGAAATGTCTTCTGTAGTATAACTGTATCAGAAAAGAACTGAAAAGGAGGGGAAAATTATTTAAATATGGAAAGAAAAAGGAACTTACATAAGTCTGTGTTTCCAAGCTATCTGTGTTGACCAGTACTGGAGGAGGGTTTGCCTATAAAAAAAGAATTTTAAATTAGTGACCTTAAGAAGAAAATCAAAGCATTACATATTAATGTTCACAAATGTTAGAAGCATATGGAAGATCTCCTGTTTATTATTCTTTTAAATAAGCTTTTCATATTAAGAAATGTACCCAGGTTCCAACACTAAAGGGAAAAAAAAAGTAAAAATAGTTAAATAGATTTGCTTTTGAGAAACTGATTGCTACTAAACCAGAATCAACTGTGCCTTCCAAAGAAGTTCATCACTTTTTTCAATAAAATCCAGTACTATTTTTAACTATAGCTTTCTTATCTGTTCTCAGAAAAACTTGTAAAAATGTCAGTCATTGGTGGAGGGTGGGGGGAAAATTCTTCTGAATTGAATGTGAATATGAACAGGAGGTCTGCCACATACTCAAAGAAATCAAGCTAAAACTTGTAGAAAATGAAAAACATACTCAACATAAAAGCTGCAATTCCAGCTGCAATTATTGTTTTTCATCTTTTGGCCAATTCACAGAAAACCCAACAGTCTACTACAGCACAAAAACAAGTAGAAAAATTTATCTAACTGCTGCAGAAGGTCAAGAATTGTAGTCTTCAATATGGTTTGAAGTTGAAAATCAAGAAGACAGTTTCTCATCCTTGGGCCAATTGTTAACACCATGATGTATGGAGAAGAGATTGAGGTTGTTAATAATTACAGCTTGCTTGGCTACTTAATCAATAATACTCTTGCCACCAACAATCAGGAAATCCAAAGATGAACTGCACTGGGAAAATCTGCTATCATTATCAGGGACCTCTCCAGAGTGCTGAAAAGCAACGATGTCAAGTCTAGAGACAAAAGTCCACTTGATTCATGCCACGGTCTTTGCAATCACTTGCTATGCATTAGAGTTGGACAATGACAGAAGAATTGATGTCTTTGAGTTGTGGTGCTGGAGAAGAGTGCTGAACATACCATGGACCACACCAAGAAAACAAATAGGTCTGTCTTGCAGAGGGTGAAACCAAGTTTTTCCTTGGAAGCTAGGATTTTGAAATCTCACATACTTTGGGCATGTGACCAGGAGGGACTGGTCCTTGGAGAAGGACATCATGCTTGGAAGGGTTGAGGGATAGCGCAGGAGAGGAAGACCCGTAGGGCAACGGGGGTAGGTGGGTCAGAGTCTGTCTGTCTGTGTGTCAGCCTTCAGAGGTGTTGTACGTAAGGGTCATTATGAATCACAGGTGACTCTATGGCACCTAACAAGAACAATTTAGATGAGACTGAAAATCAGTTTGGTTTTGGGGCTAAGTTTGCGGTTACCATTGTCATTATTATATGATGTGACAGAGCAGACTGCCTCACAAGATTTTCCCAGGCTGTAATCTTTCTCAAAGCAGACTTCCAGGTCTTTCTCCTTTGGAGCCATTTAATAAATTCCATTAGCAGATAAGTGCTTAACAAACACATAATATGGTGAAGTTATGATTCATGGTCCATTCAAGCTGACATGTAACTTACACCATTACAGCCAGACCCTTACATTTGACCCTTGACTCACACCCTGGTGTTTATTACTATTGCCAGACTTATTGTCATTATTGTGCAAAACAGTCAGCAGACTTTTTACTATTATAAGTGAGATATATCAGGTAACAAAATAATTGGTAAATGGTACTCAACATTCATACTTGAGTATTTTTTAAATGTTACATAATAAAAAGTAAAGGAAAACAGTCATCTTGATCCAAGTACTCGGTATGTAGAAGGTTAATTTTAGAGGTAGCTGTAAACAATAGCACGAGTTAAGAATTACCATTATGATATTCAAGTGACAACGCAACCACCATCAAGATGCTAGCTAGCAGCCAACTCCTAGAGTGGAAGCTCCAGGCCCCTGGCCAGCCTGCAGACCCATCCCCTCACTAAGAGATTTAAAAGCAACACCCTCCAGAAGGCCTCCCTCCATCCTTAGTCAGAGGCTCAAGGGGCATCTGCTTTTGGGGGGAAAGAACAGTAACATACATCAAACACAATCCCAAAAAATCTTCCCTTACATGACCACCATCAAGACACAACCATCAACATGCTAGTGAGGTAATGGGTCTGCGAGTTATGGAAAGGGATTAGGTCTTTTGTTGAGAGTTGCTGTGACTTATGCTTGACTTGACTACAATCAACAACAACAAAAATGATGATATTAGCATTTAAAGTTAAAACTGACTAATGTATGTATTAGTCTCCTAGAGCTACTATAATGGATTACCACAAATTGTGATAAACATATTCTTTCACAAGTTTTTTTGTTACCTGCCATGGAGTGAGGGGGCTCTGATGGCTCAGTGGTAAGTAGTTGCAGGACAGTTCAAATCTACCTGCTGCTCCTTGAGAGGAAAATGGGCAATCTCCTGCTGTTCAATTTACGGTCTCTGAAAACATGTTAGAGGGTCAAGTATGAGGTGGTTCTGACTCAAAGATATATAACACCACAATGCCACGGAATCAGCTCCAAATTCATGACCAGTCCACATACAAGAGAATACTGATTCTGTGTCATTTCCATAATCAGTTCTGGATAAAACCACTGTGATTGGTGAGGTTTTCAGTGGCTGATTTCTGGAAACTGACAAGCATTTCTTTTTAGTTTTTCTTCATCTGAAAGCTCCAAAGAAATCTGTTCAGCACCATAGCAACACATCAAGTACCATTGCTGTTAGATGACTGGTGGCTGAACGTACATGAAGTACAAGAGCTGGGAACTAAATCTGTGTCAACCTCACAGAAAGGAAGAATTTCTGAATCAATACTGCCACCACCTTCCTACAAAAAAAATCTCTACAGAAGAAGTGCTCTTTGTCTCTTCTTGGTTTCTGCTGGTTGCAGGCAATTCTTGAATTGCAGAAAAACTACTCCACTTTTTTTTTTCCAGTCTGGTAGCAATTTTTTTTTTTTTTTTTTTACATTTTTTACTGGATTAGTTACAAAAATGTATACCTTTTTTTTTCTCCATACCAGATCTTTCTCATTTCCTTTAGCCATCGAATTGTGCAACTCTATGATTAACCACACCACTACCCACTCATCCTCACCCCTCTGTTCCCACTCTTCCACACTTTGATCCATGTGCATGTCCTACAATAATAGTCTTATACAGCATTTGTCCTTACAGGACTGAGATATTCACTGAGCATAATGCTCTCCAGTCCCTCCAAGTTAGGGAGTGATTTACAAAATCACTGCTCCTGCATACTGCGTAGTATTCCATCATGTGTATGTACCATAATTTTTCAATCCAGTTGATTGTGGTTGGATATTTGGGCTGTTTCCATGTTCTTCCATTAGTGAATAATGCTGCTATGAACATTGGTGTACAAGTCTCCGTTTGTGCCTCAGTTCTAACTTTCTTGGGGTATATTCCAAACAGTGGAATATTTGGGTCATATGGAATTTCTATATTCAGCTTTCTGAGGAAACATCAAACTGCCTTCCAGAGTGGCTGTACCATTTTACAATGCCACCAACAATGCATAAGAATTCTATCTTGCCACATACTCTCCAACATTTATTACTTGCTGTCTTGTTAAACTTTGCCACTATTACTGGAAATCACCCCACTTTTTACACTCATGTCAAAGGGCAGTGCAAAAGGAGTAGACCCAGCATTGAGGGTGGACAAGTCTGATTTCTGCTTCATAAAAGGGAACTTTCCCCCTCAATAATAACCACAGCAGCAAACAGATAGCTGTTTGGTCAGACATGTCACCTCTCTCTGGACCCCCTCGCAACTATTTCCACCAATCACTGGGTTTGATATTCATTGTTGACTCAAAGACTTTACTCCTATTTCTGGCACTAAGAGTGGAGTTTATTAGAAAAAAAGGCTGGTGAGTGGGACAAAGAATATCTCACAATACAAGTTCAGGTTTAGTCCAGCAGTCCCAAGCCAGATTAACAGCAAGACACAATTATTTTTTTTTTTCTCAACTGAGTGTAACAACAATGTTTAATACATTTTATTTCATTTCTGTTTTCTCTATTTTTTTAATTAATTTTAATAGACATTTACAGAGGTTTTGGATTTCCATTCATTTATTGCCGCACTTTTCTCCCTCCCCACCAGTTTGCTCCCCTCTCCGGGGGGAAAAAAATTCCTTCATTAGTATACAATTCTCCCATCCCTCTCCCCCCAACCCCCCACTGAGTACACTTCTCTATGCAACCTTAATTCTGGATTCCTGTGCTAACCATAATACTCAATCATATATCACCTCTAATCTGTTCTTTCCCTCATCTGTTTCAATATACATAATTTATCCAGTTTTTTTCTGTCATACCCCAACCCTGATGTCAGACCCATTCTACAACAGTGGCACCATGCAGTATTTGTCCCTTTGTGACTGAGATATTTCACTCAGCATAATGTCCTCCAGGGTCACCCATTTGGAATAATTATTGCATGAGTTCCTTGTTTTCAATGTGGCGTAGTATTCCATTGTGTGAATATACTACAGCTTCTCTGTCCATTCATTTGTTGATGGGTCCTTAGGTTGCTTCCAACTCTTTGCTATTGTAAACAAAGCTGCGATAAACATGGGTGTGCATATATCTGCTTGGATGGCAGACGTGGTCTCTCTGGGGGATTGCTGGGTCAAATGGTATTTCTATTTGCAATTTTCTGAGAAAGCGCCACAACACCTTCCACAATAATTGCACCATCTTACATTCCCACCAACAGTGTATAAGAGTTCCAGTTTCTCCACATCCTCGCCAGCATTTGTTGCTTGCTGTTCTGTTAAATGTTGCTATTCTTACTGGGGTGAGATCGTATCTCATAGTTGTTTTGATCTTAGAGCTAGGGACTTTGAACATTTCTTCATATGCTTGTTGGCCATCTGAATGTCTTCTTCGGTGAAGTGTCTGTTCATATCCTGTGCCCATTTCTCAATTGGATTATGTACCTTTATCTTATTGTGCTGTTCAAGTATTTTATAAATTCCAGATATAAGTCCCTTATCTGACATG